ATAATATATTTTATGTGTATCTTCAATAATATTATAAAGAGGAAAGATTTGATTGTTCCTTTGTATTGAATAGGCTCCGAAACCACTGTACCGATTTAAAAATTGTTTTACCATTAGAAACCAACATTATCCCTGATAGACATATTAGACATAGGCTACTTTTTACCGCGGGAAAATTTCTCATTCCTACGAGAAAACAGGTAATAAGACAACGGGTTGTATGAATTATCACTCAGTACTTATCTTTTTCACATAACTTCTAAACGGTTGAACCGATTGGGTTGAAGTTTTATATGGGTATTTCGATGGTTTCCTAAATTATTTTAAAAATATAATTGGACTCGGTAGGTGGCGATGCTGTCGGTATGTCAACTACTAAACGGCTGGACTGATTGAGTTGAAATGTTGTATGTGTATTTCCACGGTTTCGCAGACACGTATGAARGTACATGTAATGGTACACGAATGTACTTTAGTAGAGACGACCTACGAAAGGAATTTTTACCCATGTCCTATTGTATGTGTGCTTATTACGAATTGGATCTTCTGATAATCAATTTATTTCGCTACCACAAAATAAAACGACTTCAAATATCGTTTACAGAGAAGCTCTAACCCAATAAATTTAATGATATATGATTCAATATTATTTTTTTTTCAGCATGATTTAATGGATATACATATAATGTATGATTCGAATTCCACGCAACAAAATTTTGAGATTTACGATAGAAATTTTTGTTTATAAATGGTTGCCATGGGTTTTAAAGCTATAATAAAAATTATTATTGGTTGCAGTTGGTTGAAAATGGTGGCTATTGATTATAGAAGAAACAATTATAAAATATTATAATTATAGTAGAAATTAGTATTTTAAAGTACTCTGAGTTGTATTAATGTATAGATGTACTATATTGATATACTATTACACATTGTGCGCGATCCTACGTAGTCAGATTATCTACTAGGGAGGCTGTATTGCACTTACTGCAGTGAGTTACATACAAAAAGATTTGAACAATCACAATTTTTTAAAGGCTTGTCATTTTTTAAAAGCAATGAAATGCACGGGGTTAGCTAGTCTTATGGCTTATAATATAGTAAACGTACGGTGACTAAATAATATTAAATCGATTAGATAAAGCTACGAGTTTACCTGACTCCTGAGTGGTAGTGGCTGCGGACACCTGTAGCGCGCAGATCAAAAAGCATACGATAAATGTCCACATGATTGATTGGTAGGCGGATGTGTTACCAAACTTAGATAGGAACCATATGGTTAAATTTTAACACTCGTGTCCGGAGATGTAAGTATGAAAGAAGTAGAGATGGAGGTGAAATCGTTTTCACCTCAATGTTTCACAACCTAGTTGATTGACATACTTATAAATACTCCGAAGTAAGCATGAAGATATAATTTTTTTTTAATTATGTTATCTTGACATAACTTTGAAAATATATAATCTTCATTAATTAAAATACCTACGTATAGATACAGGTTTTACCATACAAATATTTAGTGTTAATTTAAATCATTATGATTATTGATTAACGTAATCCGTATAAAGTTAATACTCATATTTTATTTATTTTATTTTATTCTCTGGCACGGCCACTACCACTGAGGCTAATATAACAGTAATATATTATCAATACTTGAAAAAGCAATGGAGGGGGAAACTTAAATCCTAAACAATATCGATAATCACGTTTTTAATGTTAAGAGTGAATAGGCGTGAGTGTTTAAGCCAGATCATCTTTCTACCGTCTCTATTAAAAGTACCTAGTAAATATTTTAATATTATGTATATTCTTATCCGTCGTATAATATCAATTTTATCAAAACACTTCAAAAACTAATCACCGATTTAAAAATATACTTATTTATTCTTTTATATTTTGATTTTATGTGAGGACATTAGTTCAGAAATATGTATAAATAATTGTTTAATTTATTTAGTTACGCAATAATTCAAAACTAAATAGATTATATAAATATAATTAATACGTACTGATTTAAATTTCACACATACATACATTTAAAAAAAAATACACAATTTTTTATAAAAGTTATGAATTTTTAAGTCAGATATTCTATCAATTACCTTAAAAAATACACAATATAGTAAACTGATCAGTCATATTTTTAGCGTATAATAATATCATCATCCACTTGTGACTTGGTGTGGCACGATTGTTCCAATCATTYGCGCAATATTATTGAAAATACGCACCTCCCACTGTCTATAATTCCCGGATAAGTGACCACCCGGGTTCTTAGTGTCAAAAAACTTGCCATACATAAAAGTGTTACCAACCAACCAACCTATCGTACCAGGGATAATTACCCAACAGTCTATGTTCACTGCTGAGATTAATGTATCAATGAAGAGTATTGTTGTGATGAAGGGGTGGGGAGGTTAGTACTTCGATTTGAAAGTTTTATTTTATTTTCAATCTACTCGCATTAAAATTGAACAACCATATATTAGAGTGTATAATATATATATGACACCATTTTAAGACGACGTGAATTCTTYGAGCAAAATATAATATTCAATTTAGATTTTGAGAGCTGTGTAGCTGTCATCCGAACAATTTTAGTTTGTTCGTTTATGGGTGGTTTACAGATGTATTTGTGTGTGGGCTGAGCGCGCGTCGCATACAAAATATTATTATAATAAGTATACACACAGGTTTACAGCGTGATATGCAAATTACACTGTCACGTGCAGAGACCACTTATAAGTATTTATTTATTAGACCGCCATATCTATGAGCTAATAATTAAAGTAAAGTTATCTAGACCGGAATAAGAATGAAAAAGGAGTAATCGAAGAACGATTTTTTTCTTACCACGCAAAAAAACTCTTGTGGAAAACCAAATTATATACGTATAACTTAACGTGACTGARTTATTAGGTGTTAAAAGGGATGCTACACTTAAAGTTGTGAGTTACTAAAACGTTTATGTCGTGAAAGAATAAAATGTGAAGAAAAAGCAAAAAATGATCAAAYTTACTTACACAGACTTTTTATGTTAAGTTTGCTGCACACGTCTTTAATGTTTATATTAAATAACGAACAAATTCAAACGCCTCGATACCTGCCTAAACAAATTATTCAAATCTAACATATTTTGCACTGTGTAAGTAGTTTAAGTCGACACGATGCAGTGTACCTACATTTCCAAAAACTTGCAACAATTTATTAACATATAATATTTTATTGAATCTACAATTTTATTTTGTTTTTTTATTTTTTATCAATGATTTAGAACACATTTCCAAAATTAATCAATATTTAACCATATATGAAATGCAGTTGAAAAATAACCAAGTTAAAACATATCATACATTATGTTTAAAATGCACTGTAAATATTACAATAACTATTGTAAAATAATACAGTTTAAATTATTATCTAATTATCTCGTATATATATTAAGCAGTAAGATTCAGGATGAGTACTTGATAAACTATTAATTAAAACTAATAATTTTAAAACGGATTTTACTATTAAAATGCAAACCAATTATCCATTAAACGTGTTTATAATTCACCGATATACAATTAATGAGAAGTTATCGGAAATGCCAATGAACAAACCACCATAAGGCCGTGAGGTATTCAGCTAGAAATTAACTATTCAACATTGATCGGTGGTCGGAACTCGGAAGTAGCTGTTTCCACTGAAATTAATACCTGTTGCGTAAATTAAGTACTCCGGATGATAGTTGTTTACGTTTATAAAATACAACTCAGTACTTCAACCAACAAGCATTACTATTAAATTCGATTACCTACTTACTACGTACTTATAATAAATTATTTTATTATGCGTGATAAAAATATTTTATTAAAGTATTAGGCATATTAAATTTATACTTGTATATATTTTATTTAATATATGTTTGTATGGCTGTATAGCTTATAGACTTGTAAAAGAATGAACCAATAAATACCAAATTTCACACACATATCTCTCGCGAGATTCAGAAAGTATTCATAGTTTAGTTTTATGGCCTTTATAGGTTGCCATGAATGGTTTATACGTGCATTTCGGTTCGGCAAAACGGATATCGAATATCGTATTGCTTATATAGTATTGAGTTGTATTTGGTTACAGAAAATAAACAAATATTATTAAATGACTTAAGTCAATTACAAAAAAAAAAAAAAATAGAAACACACATTTCTATAATCTATACATTGAAAGGCAAAGTATGGCCGTTGATAATAGACTCAAAAATTAATAAAACTTAGAGGTAACAATTAGTATGCTTAAAATATTGTTCGAAACACATTCGAACGTATATCGTGTGCTATTGGATAATCATCACATGGGTGGATTGTCCATCTCGGTGGATTAAGTTCATAAAACGAGTTATACACGCCAATTATATAGCACAGAATTTTTATTTTCTTGAAGTCAGGTTATACAGCTGTCAGTTAGTGAGTAATAGAAATCATAATTATATGTATACCAAAAGAAATGTAACCTTAAATATATACATATTTACTGATAAGAAAAYGAAAAATATGATGTATGTTTTAAAACACAATTTGTAATWTAACTAAAGTATTTAACCTTTAARTTTAATTATAATTCAATACAACAATTTACTTTAGAAACCTCACCTAGAAAAATGTGTTGAGYATTYAATTTTTTAAATGAACTTCCATTATATCATTTACTCCTTTTATTCTTAATTCACAAAATACATTTACAAATTTTTCATTAGACATTATTAATATTCTATAATTAAGTTTTCTTTGAATATTTTTAATGTAATATTTAAAGTTATATTGAGTTTATTTTCAGCAAAAGTCCTAATATGATAAAATTATAATATTACAGTAAAAACAAAATTTAAAATAGCGATTTTAAACTAAAATCAATAAAAACAGGAAAACCGTTACTTGTATGATATATATAATATATATAATATTTATGACTTACAAATAAAATCAGTTATAATAATATCATCATATTTTTTATTTTTTTTTTTGAGATTTATAAGCTAGACTGTATAATTCCAACAAAAGTCAAAAATAGGACTGCGAGAATAGTTTGTCCAGCGGAATTACATGGTGCAATGGCACCACTGCTAGAGTCAGTAGACGAAGGATTTGTGGAAATTCCAGCAGCCATTGCCATACCAAGAGGAATTAGATTTTGCTCGTAGTTTCCAGTGAATAAATGTGACATAGGACCCCTCGCAAATACCATGACATCATCTCCTCCGTGAGTCTCAGAGTCTAAATCGACCAGACTTGGATATGAGAAGTCGACTTTCTCTAGAAAAAAATCCAATTCAAATGAGAATATTACACGAAATATATCAAACAGCGTGATGTTGTAATGCATTAATTATAAATTATAACCATTGTGTTATTTTAAGCCCATCATTAATTATCCTACGATTTCAAAGTAYCGCAGTTAAATTGTTTTGGTGTATTTACTTGCAACATCTTCGTTCGTTACGTTGACTCTATGACATGATACGTCATCACCCGTGTAGGATTTTTTTGGACCGTTGGCGTAGCTCAGTGTTGTATACGTCATGTTGTCCATGGCCATCGTTCCCGATACACCGAGAATATTCTCGTTTCGTTTAGGGTAACCAGCCATCGACATGGTGTGCGCATGGTCTGAAGTCACCACGATTAATGTGTCATCTTCACTAGTCATCGCCACAGCGTCCGCCACAGCATTGGAAAATTCTAAAGTTTCGTCGAGTGCGATTCTTGCCCAAGTATTGTGATGTGCTTTGTCGATAAGGCCGCCTTCTACGAAAAGAACGAAACCGTTTGGTTCCTTCTGAAGCAACTGAATAGCATTCCTGGTCATTTCCTGTAACGTGGGCTGCGTCTCGAAATCGGATTTTAATCTATAGTCCATGTGTTCCGGATGAAAAAGACCTGGAAAATGCGTGTTWCAGATGAATACAGTAAACGTTAAAATTTTAATATAAGTATGAAAATGATAACAAGTATTTTGTCAAGCCAACATTTACAAAAAAACATTTTTATTTGCAATAACTGAAAATTGTTAGTTGTTTTATCACTGATTGAAAAACTAAAGAACATTTTTTTTTTTTTTATTAGAACTAATGCTTCAACTTCAACTACTAAGTTCATTATCCTGGTATTGTGTGTTAAGAACGGTTAGTTGTAACACGTTTTGTATATATGGCAAGGAGTTTTTGCTAAAAACCCGGTGGTCACCTATCCGGGAGCTAACAACGCCGACTAGTGCGTACACTTAGAACGTTTCCGATTTAAAGCATCCGACCATGCCGCACCAAGCCACATTTAATATTATTAACATCTAAACATTGAAATATACATATTCTGTATTTCTGTGTGAATAGTTACATATATAACTATATAACTATTACAATTTATGATTAGTGTAATAAGTAAAATTAATATAATATATGACTGATTAACAATATTAAGAAAAATATAAATTGAAAATATCCATTACATGGTTAATTAATCATACATATTATATTTATATTGAAGATTGATCTTTTCATAATAACCAAAATATATTTATCAATATTTTGACTAAGCAGCATAGGACGCAAAATTAGGTAGATAAATGTCAGACACTAAAATAAACACTTCCACAAAAAAAAAATATTGTATTAAAAATKAATATATATTATTTATGTCTGTATATAATATATATATCAGTGTTGTTTGGGATTTAATAMACTTATTAAAACAATATGCAACATAAATACCGTATAATATAATTATTGCTTATCAATTTTTTTTTTAAGACGCTAGTGACTTGAAAGCTGTTGCAGCCAATTATCGTGTGAAATAATTTTCCTTACCTAACACAAAATCAGTTTGAGACATATCTGTTTCTAATAGTTCCTGTCTTGTCGTCACGTACTTGGCAATTTTATCACTAAACCGAGTCTTCTTGTCTTTCTTCCAATTTTGGATTAAGTCTTCGTCATGGCGTTTACCCGTGGAGTTGTCTCCTTTCTTCATAAAATTATTGCGACCACCACCCATGATAACCTACGAAAAGACTTAAGTAAATTTCATATTTCTTGCTAGAAGTTTAAATAGATTATCAAACCTTGAAATTTCTGCCAGGTTCTCTTGTAACCAGCTGTTTAGCTATATCTTCACACTGTGTTAAATTGGTTTTGCCATTTGATTGAACTATCATATCTTCGTCAGATTCCCAGTCTCGGTGCGCGATTTGTGAGTAAGTGCCTGCTGGGGATGCGTGTGTTACCCGGGTCGTGGTCACGATACCAGTCGCCTTCCCAGCCCACTGCGCCCATTGCATTATCGAAGTCACGTGGTGCTCGTCCGGGACGGATAGCGGACAATCTCCCAAGGGTACTTTAGATGTCACACCAATCGTGCCAATGTTTGCCTTTACGCCACACAAATATGCCGTGGCTGAACATGCTGAATCAGCCACTTGACTGTCAACGCAATACGTCTATTCGTGTGGATGGAACYGAYGATTAGGTAAACGTAAAATAAAAGACCAATACGACGTGTATTCTAATAACAGTTGTCTTGTTATCAAATTATTACCTTTGATATTCCGGTGAATGGAAACTGTTCGAAGCTCAAGTGATCGCTTTCACCAGACGTATTCTGCAACTGACCTTTGTATATCCGAGCGGCCGTCAATGTTGTCAATGACATACCATCTCCCAGAAACATTATCACGTTCTTTGCTTGGTTTGTCCGCAATGGTTGTTTTGACTTTTTCTCCAACATGAGTTTTCCATTTTCAATCCAGAATTTGGGATCTGACAAAGAATTAAATGTTTACAAGTTGTATAATATATTATGGTGTATTAGATTAAATTTAAATATTATATGAATGTTATGTAATTATGTGTTGCGAAAACAGAGCGTGAAACAGCCTTTCATTTTTTTTTTTTATTTAAAAATTATTTGGCAACTTTTATACTTTAGTACGTATTTTTACATTTTTGAAGTTTTTTAGAATTTTATGTACAATGTATGGACTGTAACTATAGACAATAAATACATACTTTATTAATAATAATAATTACGTATATGAACAGGTAAAAAACAGATAGACCAATGGAGATTTAACGTATTTAAGAACATAAAATAACAATTTAACATGAATTATTAATTTATCTAACAAGAAATTATTGTACAAAATATTCAAAAATAGGTCACATATTGTATCTCTCCCATAATTATAGAACAAACAATTGTTCACTTAATTATACTAATTGAYTGTTGCAATGCCAATAAACGAATACAGTTCGTGTTAGACTTCYGTCCGAGCAACACGCGTGTTCAGTTATCGCGCCCGTATTTTTATCTTCCAATAGACAACATAGCACGGGACCAAACTAGTAATATGTTCGACATCAAAAACTATAGACCAATATCATTGATAAGTACTCTAAACAAACTAATAGAAAAAATCATAAACAAACACCTAATCTGGTTCCTAGAATTATCCAAATTTATCTCCGAAGAACAATGCGGTTTTAAAAAAAAATCTCTATACATAGACATTTTTCAGCAATCAGATGCAACCAACATCAAATCACAATAGCATCGGACATCTCAAAAACGTATGACACTGTCTGGAAAACAGTGCTAACAATACTCCAYTCATTGAAAATTAACGCCAATCTCTTTAAAATTATTAAAAACTTCCTAACAGACTGAAATTTTAATGTAAAAATCTACGATTAAATCTCATCTACACACTTCATTGATAATGGACCCTCAAGGGCTTGTATTTGGTATCAYATCATTACTAATAGCCATATATTACATATTATGCAAAAACCTTATAATCCTGTAAAATATACTCTCCGTTGACGACCGCAACATCTACTACAGTGGGCCACAAATTAAAACATACACCCACTTTCTCCAATAAGCATTTTACTCTCTTTCCAAATGGTCCTCAGAAACCAGCTTCAGTTTTTCTCCTACAAAAACTCAATGCATTATCTTCAACAAAAATAAAAATAATCCCCAATCAACAATAAACTTTATGAATACTCAACTCGCTTTTGCAAATAGCATCCTGGGTCTCACTTTCGATAGCAAACTTACTTGGCGACCTCATMTGATAAAACTAAAAACTGAATGTCAATCAAGTTTAAAGACAATAAAAATACTTGGAAACAGCACTTGGGGATCTAATGTAAAAGCCTTATCACAATTTATAAATCTCTTATACTCTCATAATTTTACTATGGAGACATCATAATATACAATTAAACAAAAAAAATTCCTGAGTACTTTGGATTCTATCCACAACTAAGGCATTATTAGCTTGGCTATTGGAGCCTTCAGGATGAGTCCTGTTTACAGTATACTCTTTTACGTTGGAGAACCCCCCCCCCCTTACACTATAGACGCCATTGTCACATTCTAAAATATGTGAATAAAATTAAAAATTGACTGATTACATCACCAAAATATCATCCGCAGCACTCTACCCATCAATACACTACCCTTTCAAAGCACAATACTTKAAAACTTCAAAATAATCAGTGATAATTTAGATTATCAATCACAATCTCTGAACATAATTCAGCCACTTTTCCTTCCGTGGATCTGGTCACCAAAAATCAATACCCCACTGACTAAATACTACAAAAATTATACAGATAATCGAATCATACTCAACTACTTTGCAGAAATAATGTCGCAGCAATTCCCGTATTATACACAAATATACATAGATGCGTCTAAAAGTTAAAATGGAGTGGGCTTTTCTGTAATCAAATATTGGAAGAATTATCTTTTTAGACTACTTGCATCCTATAATATATACGCAGCTGAAACTCATACTATTTACCAAGCACTATTAATCATTTCATCTTTAAACACAACAAACTTCCACATCATTATATCAGTGACTCTTTGAGTGCCTTCACTAAAATCTCTAATCCCTATAAAAAATCTAACTTATCCAACTCAGAAATTAATATCTGAAATAAACAACCCCACATATCTCATGTCACACATCAGGATACCCTAAAACGAGAAAGCAGATACATTAGCCTATGAAGCCATTTTATWTCCACAATCATTCAAATCAACTCTTCTTGCTCTTTTGAAACTTTTAGCATAATCGTTCGRAAAATAATGRAAGAATGAGAACATTTTTAGGAAATTTTATCCCTAACTAACAACTGGGAAATATATAATTATTCGTTAAGAAATTAAACTACTCTCCCGGCACAAAAAGAAGAGTGGAAGTAACTCTCACTAGAGCCAAAATAAGGCATTATTGCTTAACCCATGTCCTTCTCATCAAAAAATAACCAGCAATAATTTTTGATGCTTGCAACGAAACATTATCAATCGAAGACATTGTCATCACCTGCCACGATCGAAGCACGCAAGATACTTACAAATCCTGTTTCACTCTACTAAGCCTCCAAAGATGAGAACACAGCTACAATCAATACGTTCTCCTTTAATATAAACTCAAACTATCCATTGTAAATAATAATAATATTGTAAAATTCATACCAAAATGTAATGTGYATATATTTTTGTCTTATTCAACTTTTGATCAAATATAGGCTAAAAACCTTTGTCGTTGAAGCCTTAATAGACTTTTAAAAAAGTAAATAAATAAACGAATGATTATTAGTTTTAGTTTTTTTATATATATACCTATAATTTATTTATAACTTTAATTATATAATTCTGTGATTAATAAAATTAAGAAATAAAAGTTTCTAATTTCTGAACTATTTATGATTTCAAAGTAAAACATTAATTTATAATCATTAAAAATAAAGAGAACTAGTATACAAATAACACAACATTATTATCGACCAACTGACWAATTTCATGTTAATAAACCTCTTGAAACTTTGAATATTAGGTATTTTAATAGTGTAAGACTATAAAGTTTTACCAGCTACATAA